CCTGTTTTTCGTGATGTTACTTCTGCCTCTTCTTCCATAGTAAAACTCTGAAGCTTTCTTCTTTAAGTTTTTATTACATTAAGTTATTTGTGTGTGTATGGACATGCTCGCCACAGTGCATGTGTGGAGATCAGGAAAAAACATGCCGGAGTCACTTCTCTCCTTCCACCACATGGGTTCCAGGGATCAAACCAGGCTTAATAGCAAGTGCCTTAACCCACTGAGGCATGAAACCAATCAGAAACGCTATGACTCCCAAACATCCGCATACTTATTTGTTTTGTTCTACGATGCACATAAAGTCAGCTCGCTTGGCTTCTGCGCCACATCTCTGCTGTGAAGAGCAGGGTTTTCTAAGGGAAGCACAGTGTTTGTTAGCCAGTTTGAATAGGCAACATCTAAAGGGCAAAGGTCAGCAAGGCTGCCACAGGTCTGACTTTTCTCCTGCTTCCTCTACCCTGTTTCTCCCCATCCCCTCTTGGAAAGTTACTCATATTATTGTTTTCCTTTTTTTCCTCTTTTCTAAAAACATGAAAAAAAGAAAAGAAAGAAAAAATAATAACTCAATGAATAAGCAGAAAATACAAGCATCATTTTCTATGCAAAAGAGAATATTCTACATAAACCTTTGTGTTTCCCTTTGCTGAATGCACTCTCTATGTCATTTCAGTGGACTTTATTGGACTCTCTACCAGTCAGAAAAGGGTTCTTTTGCTCTGTTTGAGGCATCACAAGTAGGTGGGGTGGATCTCCCTTGCTGTAAGCCACTTTCTGGTTTTGAATAGCAGCAGACCAACACTCAACAGCTAATCCTAGGAGCCCAGGCAGCCATTCCTGCTGCTCAACTTACAGCCACTACCCAGCACTTTTCCAGCTGCTGGGGCCAGTTGTTTTGTACAGCCCTCTATCTTGTAGTGCTCCCCTTCCTTAGTTTTTGGACATCTTGGCACTTCCCTCAGCCTTGTTTCAGGTCTTTGCACTCTGTTCCCTATCTGTTGTCTAGGACTACAGGCCCCAGGAGTTGTCAGTTTATTCTATCACAAGTTTCGTCTTGTCCACCCATGATAAAGGACCACAGTCGGCAATGACTCCTCCAAAAGAAATTGTTGAGATCTAGCCTGCAACACAAGACCAGTTTGGGGTGGATAGGGGGGTTGGAGAGGCAGCATAGAAGAGGTAGGTCTTCTTAACTGACCTCAGGAGATTGAGCAGAGGACTGTTTATATATCCAGTCACACATGTGCACAGCCTTCTGTTTGCTAACCACAACATTTCTGCACAGTCATGTCAGTCTGGATAGGCATCCTCTTCGAGCAGTCATGGGTGTGGGCATCTGGAGCAACTATCACAGTAGAAATACTATCTTCTAGGGTTATTAGTTTGTGGAGTAACAACTGAAACAGCCTCCTGACTTTCTCTGAGTGGCCAGAGCAACTGGGTGTGGGTTAGATTCTCCTCCGTTGGCTGTAGCCATGTTGAACTTCACTGAGTAGTCAATGTCCATATTCTTCTTTAATGATTTCATACATCCATGTAATATATTTTGATGATTTCTCTCCATTATTATTTCTTGCCCCCCCCCTTGCACTAGACTCTTTCTTTGTGACTCTGGTGGTTTTGATCTACTGCATTTGATTAAGGGTGCCTACATGATCACAGGTAATGTTTACTTGAGCAAAGGCAACTTGCCAGTGGCTTCACCACCCAGGACCACGACCCCTTTTGCCCCTGTAGTCTTTTAACTGCTCCTCAGAAAGGGATAAGGCTATATATACCCCCCATCCCTGATGGAAAGTTGATGGGCTCTGTCTTGAACAGGTCTTCTACAGGTAGCCACTGTTGTTGTAAGTTCATAGATGTAAGAACAAGGTGATGGCCTCCCCACACTCCAGTTCTTACAGTCTTCCCACTTGACTCTTTTGTAGTGTTCCAAAGTGTTGGATGGAGTGTTAGAGATGCTGCATTTAAGGCCGAGTACTCAACAGTTACTTATTCTCAGCATGCATTAACTGGTGCCCATTGCAAACAGAAGCTTCCCTGACCAAAGCTAATAGCAACACTAATCTGTGAGTATAAACATAAATATTTACAGAGATGCTTGACACCCTGTTCATTTAGCAAACAACAACAATGCACACACACATATGCATGCACACACATGCACATACACAACCCTGGATCACAACCATTGAAGAGAGGACAGCCCTCTTGATCCAGGAAAGGGTATTAGTTAACATCATTGGGGATTTGGAGTCAGAATAGTAAGAGATTTGTTATCAAATGTAAACAGTGGTTATAAAGATACAGAAATTTAAGCAGTATAACTATGGTGGGGCAGGTAACTATGATGTATGTCCTCAACATAGGTATGTGTGCATAAACCTTTAAGTATTTGCTTTGTGAGATTTAGCACATATTTAAGGATGGCACTTCAGCTATGAATGGAATATTATTTAGGAGGTATACTAGACACTACATTAACTTTAAAAATAAAGTTAGATCCCTATATTACATAATCCACCAAAGGGAATTCAGTTAGATAAATTTGGTAGTAAGTGAAACCGTTCACATGCCGGATAGCAATGTTGGTAATTCTACCCACAACTCCCAACTTGAGTACAATTGAAATTTTGAACTGGGTAATCTTTTCTGGGGGCAAGGCAATGGACTGCTCTGCGTGTTCATACTTAGCAGTACCCTGGACTGTGCCCAGAGATATAAAAAGCAGCTCCCCTTGTCGTGGCAACCAAAATGCCTACAGAAATTGCCACCCATCTCCTGGGGTGGTTGTAAAATCACCCTAGTTTAAAACCATTGGTCTCCGTCTCCTCAGCTAGAAGCATAGCACCCTAGAATAAATCACAAAAGATAATTCTGGAAATGCTGTCTATATTTTTATAAAAAAAAGAGAGAGAGAGAGCAAGAGAGAGAGAAAATCATTTAGAGAAGCTACCAAATTAAAACTGAGGGACAAGTCAAAAACGTTACAATATGAAAGTCATTTACTTTCCATAGAATGAGTGGCTAAGAAGAGACCCAAAGAGCTAATGCCTGAACATCAGCTTCCTGATAGTCAAAGCTCTTAACACAATACAAGAATAAATAAACTAAGGGTGTAGGCTGTTCTTTCAGGTTGGTAAAACATAAATACAGCATGGGTGAAAAGCAAAGGTACTATTTCACCTCAGATGCACAAAGCTGTGGCCCCACCATTCTGTTTCTGTTGCTACTTCCTATGGAAATCACTGGACTGTGAAAATTTTCATTGAATACTATTTGTAATTACTAAATGTAGGAAAAACTCCCATTTCTAACAAAAAGGGAACTGCTCAAAACAAAAGCCCATCTTTGTGGTAATAAATATATTTGATGATGATTATTATTAGTGGAGTATGTACACAGGGGAAAATGGACAGTATAGTTGAAAACTCGAGAGTATGGCTTTATATATTGTAGATGAAAAATGTTCTCTGTGTAACCTAGTCTCACTGAGACTGGTTTCTCTCCACCCATTGGGTCCCCTGCAGTCACTTATAAGATAACCACTCAGAGACTTAATATAATTGTTTGGCTAATGGCTTAGGCTTCTTACAGGCTAGCTCTCTCTTAAAATATTAACCTATCTGTGTATCTCCATGTGGTTGTGGCTTACCAGTGATGCCCTTGCATCTTGCTTCTCCAGTGGCTACATGGGGTCTCCTTGCCTCTGTCTTCCTTCTCTCAGCCCCTTTGTTCAGATTGCCTGCCTAGCTAAATTCTACTTGTCCATTGGTCAAAACAGCTTTATTCATCAACCAATTAAGCAACACAGATTTGCAGCATGCAGAAGACATCCCACATCACATATCTCTGAAATAACTGATACATACCATGTCTTTTTTACATTTGTATAAATTTTTGACAGATGATATGAAGCAAGACAGTAATAAATGTTTGTGTTATTTTTATTTTTTTATATTTCTTCCAATGAACATGAATACTTTTCATAGTAATCTTTAAAGGGGGAACTAAAGCATTTTAGGGATTTGGTGTATAGCTTGGTGGTAGGCCACTTGTCTAGCTTGCTCAAAGTTAAGTACCTAACAACACACACAAATATTTTAAATCCTTTGTCTCAGTTCCAAATTTTGATAACTTCTTAATTAGGAAATTTTTAAAAGGCAAAACTTTAGTAAATAGAAAAAAAATTCTACAGTGTTTATGGAAATGTTATAGTGGCAAAAGGATAATGTTAATATTCTAAAATAATTATCCATCAAGTAGATATCTCTGTTTATAGGGGTAAAGCTATTTTAATAATCTGATGTAAAACCAGGAGTGGTAGCACAGACCTTTAATCTGGGCACTTGGGAGCTAGAGGCAGGAGGTGACCTCAGCTACCCGGTGAGTATAAGGCCAGCCCCAGCTATATGAGGCCATATCTCAAAAAGAGCAAGATAAAAAAACAATAACAAACTAAAGTCTGATTTAATATTGTCTAAAGAGTGTTTCTTCAGCTGAGGAGCTATTTGACAGTTAATGGCTCTAGCGGAGGGAGAGTCATCTTTCTTCAGGGGTATGGTCACTGATTCGTCAAATCATCCATGATCCAGTAAATAATCTCACACCCATTCCTATTCGAGTAAACCCAGTTAAATCAGTAGATTATTTTAAAAATTAAAAAGACAAGAAAGTATGAGAGAACATATTGAGAAGAAGACCAGTTCTAGAGAGAGGGCAGGGGCTGAGAGAGGAAAATATTCTGATCAAACTATAGTACAGACATGTATGAAACTGTCAGAAAATAAATAAAGTTTTCTTAACACAAGGCTTTCAGCAGCATTCACTCAGGTTTCTTCCAAAGTAAAATATATGTGACAAATAGAAAAACGTGGCTGTTGTCAGCCACGTAAATAAAAATGAATGGTGCACACTGCACATTAATGGGTGTGTGTGTGTGTGTGTGTGTGTGGGGGAGTGTGTGTCTTCACTAATGTGGAATTCGCTTTATCATGTCATAGGTTGCATCCGGTGAATGCAATGAAGACACGGAGGTTTACAACATTACCCTGTGTACTGGGGATGAACTCACCCTGATGGGGCAGGCAGAAATCCTTTATGCAAAGACCTTCAAGGAGAAGTCTCGACTCAATACAATTTTCAAAAAGATTGGGAAGCTCAACTCCATCAGCAAGCTGGGGAAAGGCAAAATGCCCTGCCTCATTTGCATGAATCACCGGACCAATGAAAGTGTCAGCCTACCATTCCAATGCAAGGGCAGGTTTAGCACCCGAAGTCCCTTGGAGCTTCAGATGCAGGAAGGGGAGCACACCATCCGAAACATCGTGGAGAAGACTAGGCTCCCTGTGAATGTGACAGTGCCCAGCCCCCCACCCAGAAACCCTTATGACCTCCACTTCATCCGAGAGGGACACCGCTACAAGTTTGTGAACATCCAGACCAAGACCGTGGTGGTTTGCTGTGTTCTCCGGAACAACAAGGTCCTCCCCATGCACTTCCCCTTGCACTTGACTGTCCCCAAGTTCAGCCTCCCGGAACACCTGGTGAAGGGAGAGGTGTGGCCGGAAACCCTAGTCCATCACTGGCTTGGTATCTGCCAAGAGCAGTTTGACATTGATGAGTATTCACGGGCTGTTCGAGATGTGAAAACAGACTGGAATGAAGACTGCAAGAGCCCCAAAAAGGGCCGTTGCTCTGGCCACAGCCATTTACCCAATTCCCTCAGCTATGCCCGAGATGAGCTCACCCAGTCCTTCCACCGGCTCTCAGTGTGTGTGTACGGCAACAATCTTCATGGCAACAGTGAGGTGAACCTCCATGGCTGCAGGGACCTTGGGGGAGAGTGGGCCCCTTTTCCCCATGACATCCTTCCCTATCAAGACTCTGGTGACAGTGGGAGTGACTACCTTTTCCCGGAAGCTAATGAAGAGTCATCTGGCATCCCGGGGAAGTCAGAAGTTCCCTATGAAGAGCTGTGGCTGGAGGAAGGCAGGCCTAGCCACCAGCCTCTGACGCGCTCACTCAGTGAGAAGAGCAGGTGTGACCCCTTGGGAGGCTCCACACAATCCAAATGTGCAACAACTTCTCTTCCTGCCCCTGCAACCCTGGGAGCCACCATGAAGTCTTCAGAAATCACCCTACCTCCACCTCCAGTGCCTCCCAAATCTGAAGCCGTAAGTCACTTCTGTGTGAATGGTGTGACAGTCTTTCTGTCTCTGCCCAGTCATCAACTCATTTGTTTGCTTTAAAAAAAAAAAAAAGTTCCTAATTAAACATCGTCAGAATGAATAAACATACTTGATTTGAAGTGAAATATGGGTGCTAGCCAAGTAGGCAGGTGATAGGCCTGTACTACTGTTAGGTGAGAAGCTCTGAGAGCTTCTAACAGTGGATCTTTAAACTTGTTTTTGCCTAGAAAACAAATTACAGGGAAGAGACAGGGGACTCTGGGTGGCCAGGAAAGGGGCAGGCATGACAGGTATAAGTGACAGTGTCTAAAGTATAGCAACTGTCTGTGATGGGTGACCAGAAGAAATGAGGTTCAGAATATGATTTGTGGGTGGGCCAGCAATATTCACAGACAAAGTGGGTATGGCAAGAGGAGGAAAGAGTGAGCCGGAGACCAGTGCTGTATCTGAAGGGACAGCACAACCTCTGTGCTTGAGACGGGAAGCAGGAGAAACAGGAGGCCTCAGTATCTCCGGAAACGCACTCTTGTGTCCCTGGAGTTACACTGTGATCAGAATGTGGGGACCACCCCAGGTGTACACACACAACGCAGAACCAGGTGCCCTGGAGTTCTCCTTATATGCAGAGTGTAATTCAGAGCTTCATGAGGTGCCTACCAAATTTTAGTGTAAAAGCTTGGTTCAGGGGCTGGGGTGGTAACTTCAGTGCTGGAGACCAAGCTTAGCATGCCTGTGGCTCAGGGTTTAATCCAGCTCCAGGAGATCCAATACTCTTTTGAGCCTACACACACACACACATACACTAATCTTTTTTGTTTCTTTTTAATAAATGTTTTTATAAAACAGAGAAATAAAAAGGCACCCCTTCCACACACTTACTCCATTAACTGGTCTTTGGACACCTCACTGAGACCCTAGAGCTAATCTACTTATGAAGTTACTGAGACAGCTGCTAGAAATACGAATGTCAGGAAGACCAGGATTGTGGCCCCAGTACTATTCAGTTTTAGAAGAAGATAACAAATGAAAAGAGATGCAGATATCCAAGTTAAAAGATGAGGAAAGTCAAAAAGACAGATAGCATGTGGGGCAATTCAGAGCACAAAGAGAAACTCCTAGTGGGAGATGCATGAGAAAAGCCTCAGTGGAGATAATGGCATTTTAAATGTGATCAATGAATATGCATAAATTAGAAGAGCAGAGAAGCCAGGTGGTGGTGCATGAAGGGCAGTTCACAAGGCTGGAGCCAGGATGTAGACAGCATGAGGATTGACGTTAGGTCATCCCAGACAGCTGATTGGCTGCCCACAAAGGGTCCTTGCTGCTACAGAAGTTTCCCAAGAGAGGATTCCCCGCTTTGGCTTCCCAGATACCACAGGACCAGACTGTGCTATGCTTCTACAGAACTTTCCAGAGACCTTCTAGAATATTTGCAGAATTCTTAGATGACTTGAGGTCCTCAAACCTTATATTCATGTCAGAAGTTCCCAAAGGATATTCAATAAATATGTAACTAACATGTACAGGGCAAGTGCTAGACACCTTTAGATGTCAGAGCTCAGCAATATGTTTGATGTGACCTCATGATCGATATTGATCTGTATCAAGAACATGACTACCTGAGTCACTGGAATTTGTAAACAAGATATTTTTCATTCATTACACAGTTTTTATAAAATACAATATTTGTTTCATCACTCTGTTTCAAATCATTTGCATAAGATTTAGCATTTTTATAATGATTTAAGTATCTTAATGATACAGTAATTTAAAAAGAAAATGACTATGCTGTCATCCTATCTTGACCTCGGTTCTAAAAGAAAAACATCAGACCTAAATTTGAAACTAAAAGCAAATGTCACAGAGAAAGCCCTAGACTTCCAATCCATACTATAATTTCTCATGATACAAGAAACTCTTCTCAGCATGCCCAGTGTTTATAAAACACTATAAACATAAAGGATTTGCTAGAAACACCTGAAAGCATTTACTTTGTAAGGAAAGTCTAGATATTTTAAATTATCGGTTCTGTGACCATGGAATGAATTTTCCATTTTTAGTGTGTGAGGGGAAACCAGAGATTATCATGACTCTTAGATGTGGCTTCAGCTTATAATTTTCAAACAGGAGCTTTAATGTGGCATAAATTCAAGTGCTCCCATAGAGTTAAATCAGAATCCTGCTTAGGATAGTTAGAGTGCTGGGAGAGGGATGGCCTTGTGTCTAGCAGTCATCCCACCCAATCACAAGGTGGTGGTGCGCTCCCGACTGCAGCTACATTAGTTACTATTCTCATCACTGTCACAAAACAAAGGTGACAGAAGCAACCTGTGGGAAGGATTATCTGAACTAATGGTTTTGAAGGACTGCAGCATGGTGAAAAGGCACGACTACTGCTGGGGCTCGTCTGTGGCATAGAAAGTATGCAGCAGCTACCATACTGCAGCCAGACAGGAAGTGGAGAGAGTGACATGAAGAACCCACCTCCAATTAGCAACTTCTTCCAACTAAGCCCCACCTCCTGAAGGTTCCATAACATCCCACAATGGCTCCGCCAGCTAGAGACCAACGTTTAAACACATGTTCCTTTGGGAGACAAGTCTCATTTAAACCATAACCAAAGCCAGCAGAGCACTTATCTGGGAAGTTGACCATCCCACCAGGAACTGCTAGGGCAGTAGAACAGTCAAAGAAAGAGTGTATGCCACAGAAAGGAAGCAAGTTGGCTTGTTACTGCAGCTGTGGTGAGGTCTTGTGGTACTTTGCTATACTGTGGTGCCTATCTGCTCATCCTTTGTGTCTCAGATGTCTACCCATGGCTGCTAAGTTGTGACATTGTTGTGCCTTTTCTCTAGTGGATTGTGATGGCCTTTGTTTCCTTGTGTGAACATGAGAATAAATCTTTGCCCCTCAACAGTCATGGTCACTTAGAATTACACTGTAATCACATTGCCTCTTTGTAAAGATGGTATCACAGGAGTTTTCAACAACATGCTACCACTCGCCTTTCTGGAGCAGAATACTCCTCTTGATAGGAGTGTCTGAAGGAAAAGCAAACAGGAACTGGTGTCTAGGGAGGAAGGAAATCTGCCACTTTTTTATCTCTTAGAACTTTTGCTGTGGAGCCCAAGTTAAGAAACATGCAAAGCTCACTGTTAGCCATTGTCACTTTCAGGGTTTGTAAGGAGGACAAGCAAGATGTGCTTGCCACCAAATCTGACAACTTGATCTCAATAGCTGAGACCCACATGGCAGGAAGAGACAACCAACACCTGTGAGTTATCTGACCCATACATTCACAACATGGCATGTGTGCATATGCATGGATGCACTTTTACACACATGTAATAAATATGATTTTTGATGAATTTTGTAAGGCTCCCTGACTTGGCAGTCACTCTGAAGTAGATTATCCTTTGATCATATGTTTATAGTGAGTACATTCATCATTTCATAACATTGTAGGCCTCTATTCATCACTTTAATTCCTAGCTACTGCCTAGTATTTCTTTTTAATAATTTATTTTATGTGCATTGATGTTTTACCTACATTCATGTTTCTGTAAGGGTGTCAGATCCCCTGGAACTGCCATGTGTGTGCTGTGAATTAAACCCGGGTCCTATGGAAGAACAGTCAATGCTCATAACTGCTGAGCTCTATCCCCTAATATTCTAAAACATTTACCCAGACACTTGACAAGTGACAGTCTTCAAGAGCTCCTGTGTAAC